CAAGCAGGTCGGCAGCAGCAGCAGAGGCAACAGAGGGCAGCAGGGGGGAAGGAGAACACCCCTCAAAGATGGGGGTGCGAGGGTCACCACGAGAGGCTCCTACAGCGACGATGCTCTTCTCCGCCGCAAGGAGGGACTTCTCGAGGAGGTCGACAGTGAGAGTGGTGGGACAGACTGAGAGGAAGTGGTCCCTGACTACGCGAAGGGAGTCAGGGAGGCGTGTGACTATGTAATAGAGAGTGATGTACATGGGGGGGGGGTTCTTGGCGCAGAACTCAGCAGGAAGGGCGGCGCGGTAGCGAGTGTCACTAGTGCGGAGGTGCGTAATGAGGTCAGCGACAGTGGGAAAGGCAGCAAGGTCAGGAAAGAGGTACGGTAGCATGAGGCGGCTCAGGGCAGCAGTGGCAGGGGAAGAGTAGCGCGCAACTACAGCGTCGTACAAGGTCTGAGCACTCTTGTACTGACTAAAGTGCACGCGCTCAGTGGTAGGCAGGTGGCGACGCACAGCAAGACGTGCAGCAGCATCGCGGGTGGCCCACTGAGAGCGAACAGTGGGGTCAGCATCAGCAGCAGGGGCAGGAGAGGCGCCAGAGGTGAGGTCAAAGAGGGAAAGACCGTCCGCCCTATCGCACTGTAAGAACAGCTGCAGGTCGTCGACCCAGACCTCAAAGTCAATGGCTCGACCCTCAGCGTCAAAAGCGAGGACACTAGGGGTAGCCATGACGACGACAGTGTAGTAGTGCAAGCAGTAGGGGAAGGGCATGCAGTAACAGTGGTGCTGTGCTCACCAGGCAGGGCAGGTCGGGCGGCTCGGCAGTAGGGCGGCCCGGCAGCTGGGCGGCTCGGCGGCTCGGCTGCTGGGCGGCTCGGCTCCCGGGCGGCTCGGCGGCAGGGCGGCTCGGCGGCAGGGCGGCTCGGCGGCAGGGCGGCTCGGCGGCTCGGCTCCCGGGCGGCTCGGCGGCAGGGCGGCTCGGCGGCAGGGCGGCTCGGCTCCCGGGCGGCTCGGCTGCAGGGCGGCTCGACGGCTGGGCGGCTCGGCTGCTCTGCTGCTGGGCGGCTCGGCTGCGCTGCTGCTGGGCGGCTCGGCCGCTGTAGAGGAGTGGCGGGGCCGCTGCAGAGAAGGGCGGCGGGGCCGCTTGAAAGGGCGGCGGGGCCGCTGATGGGGCGGCGGGGCCGCGAGGAAGGGCGGCGGGGCCGCGCGATGGGGCGGCGGGGCCGCGAGGAAGGGCGGCGGGGCCGCTAGATAGGGCGGCGGGGCCGCGCGATGGGGCGGCGGGGCCGCGAGGAAGGGCGGCGGGGCCGCTAGGTAGGGCGGCGGGGCCTCGCGATGGGGCGGCGAGGCCGCGAGGTAGGGCGGCGGGGCCGCGCAATGGGGCGGCGAGGCCGCGAGTAAGGGCGGCGGGGCCGCTAGGTAGGGCGGCGGGGCCGCGCAATAGGGCGGCGAGGCCGCGAGGTAGGGCGGCGGGGCCGCTAGGTAGGGCGGCGGGGCCGCTAGGAGAGAGGCGGCGGGGCCGCGAAGACGGGCGGCGGGGCCGCTGAGACGAGTGGCGGGGCCGAAGTGAAGGGCCGCTAGGGCGGCTCGACGAAGTGAGGGCCCGGAGCGCGACTCAGGCTGAGCGCGCTTCGGGCAGGAAAAAAAAATCGATGTGGTGGGCCCTAAGCACAGTTCCCAAGGGGGAACCTGCTCGATACCATGAGAAGATTTGAACAAGAATGAATGAACTATGAATGAAGTGAGTACATATAGGAAACCCTAATTGGGTTGTACCCCTTATGGGATACCCCACTATAGCCTACACAACAGCATAAGCTATATATATGTTCTGACACTGTCGCCCCGACCTCTCATACTCCGCAAGCCAGCTCGCCACCTACCTCAAGAAACCTGAAGCAGAACATCTGGCGGAGCTCGACCGCGCTCTTCACTACTTCGTCAGCACCCCAACGATCGGCCTAACTTACTACAAGAACGCAACCACACCGACTAAGTTAATCGGCTACGTCGACGCTGATCACGCTGGCGACTCTGACAATAGGCGCTCCCGCACCGGCTACATCTACCGCCTCGAACCTATCGGACCTATCTTTTGGCAGTCGAGCAAGCAGGAATTAATTGCCCTCTCGTCAGCTGAAGCAGAATATATTGCACTCTGCTCAGCCACCAAGGAAGGACTCTATCTTCGCGAGCTGCTGGAAGAAGCGAAGTTAGCCGAGTTACCCAACTTTACCCTGTTCTGCGACAACCAGTCAGCAATTCGCATTGCCAACAAGAACGGCTTCGCAAACAGGACGAAACACATCGCTCTGCGATATTTCTTCGTGAAGGATGAGATCGAGAAGGGAAGGCTCGAGCTGTCATACTGCCCCACGTCTGAAATGGCAGCTGACTACCTGACCAAGAAGCTCGGAAAGCAGAAGTTCGAATACTGCATGTTGCTGACTGGACAGAGCCACGTCAGCGACACTCCAGAAGCGAAGGGGAGTGCTGGAAACAACTGATTTAGGCGCCTCTGTCGTGTCGAAACACCAAGACAGAAGCGAAGTAGCTCGTATCGAAATATCGGTGAGTCAACCCTCGGAGGTTGAATAACTGTTGGAGGTTACGCGAAAGTCAAAGGTCAGCGACCTTTGACCTGACAAATGCAGCGCGACAGCAAGGACAACCAACTGTCTCGATACTGAGCAGTTGCCCGAGTCGACACTGTATCGAACCGCAACAGCAACAGTAAAACAGTTAACTGTATCTCTTCATATTCCTTTGTATTCCTATAAAAGCTTGTATCCCTTTTATTATCATCAACTTACTTTGCCCTCACATACCAGTGCAAGGTTGTTCACAACTCTTTAATTAACGCTTCCGCTACTACACCAACTCTACCCAGAGTTCACCCCTGCAAAGATCCTAAGGGGCTTTTCAGCCCAACAAGAAGGGGGGTGGGTGAGGGTTGGGAGGGGGGAGGGGGGGAGAGGGGGGTAAGGCATTTGAGGAAGGGGAAGGGGTGGAAGTGTGAAGGAGAGGAAAGGATGGAGGGGGTGGAGGGAGAAACGGGGTGGTAAGGCAATCCAAATATATTGATTAATAAGTGGCCAGGGCACGGCGAGTAGTTGTGGAGGGATCGAGAAATCTCAATACTAATTGGTCATACAAACACTTGGCAGTAAATCACACGAACCCACCTACACATCGAACTAATTTCTAAAGCTTAATAAACCGAGACTGCGTTGGCTACATAAAAGAGTAGCCTAAAGGTGAACTACCTAAAAAATCATCGTGGAAGGCTGACGGCTATGGCGGGCCAAACACCTCTTTCACCCCATCTGGCGTAACGATCGTGCGAACGACCCAGTTATCATACGCGCCTCGACGCATGGCCAGGCACCTAGTGAGTGGAACACGACCGAACATATTCGACAAAGAACCATGGTCGGAATCATTCAGTCTGCCTTGACGTTGACTCGGGGCTCGGTCTTCACTGGATTCCGAACCGGGCTCCCTTCGGACATCTGATGAGTCATCGTCTGAAGGAAGCTGGCTGTCTTCAGGGATTGTCAAGGGAACAACTCGGGAGAGCGCCGCCGTGTGCATCCTGAAGCTGCTCGAATGCAGCCAATCCGTGTTCTGAGACATAAATCGTTGGCGCAGGCGGCGAGCTGCCTGCTCAGAAGGTTTGTGGTAAGATAGATGCTATACTATGCAACGAGTCAGGTGGCGATGTAACTGGACCTGCTAGGCGAGTCTGTTCGTTAGGGATTATTTGAGAATGTGAAGACTAAATCAAGCAAAGATACGTAGCATCCAGCATATATTACCGGTGTGCCTTTCGCAAGAATGGGGGAATGTGTTGAGAGGGAACGCGGAGCTGGCAGGCTTGTGTTTCGTCTACAGGGTTGCGTCTGCGGTCCAACCACCAATTTCACTTCATGTTATTTTATTTGTTTGTATAATACAACTACATTAAAAAGCACGGATCTGTGGCGCAATGGTAGCGCGTCTGACTCCAGATCAGAAGGTTGCGTGTTCGATTCACGTCAGGTTCAATGCCTGCTTTTTGCTCTCCCTTCAAAATCCCCTTTGCTCACCCTGCCACGTCAGCTCTTTCGGAAATTTCTCTAGTTGCCTCGTCGGACCATGGGGGCTTCGATGACAGGGCAGGTACAAACAAGGGTCATGTCAGGTTTGGTTGTCGAAGCTCCACGCGTTGCATCCACCATGGCGGTTCTCCATTAGCAAAGATACGTAGCATCCAGCATATATTATGCCTTTCGCAAGAATGGGGGAATGTGTTGAGAGGGAACGCGGAGCTGGCAGGCTTGTGTTTCGTCTACAGGGTTGCGTCTGCGGTCCAACCACCAGATTTCACTTCATGTTATTTTGTTTTTTGCATAATACAACTACATTAAAAAGCACGGATATGTGGCGCAACGGTAGCGCGTCTGACTCCAGATCAGAAGTATCGTGTTCGATTCACGTCAGGTTCAATACCTGATTCTTGCTCTCCCTTCAAAATCCCCTTTGCTCACCCTGCCACGTCAGCTCTTTCGGAAATTTCTCTAGTTGCCTCGTCGGACCATGGGGGCTTCAATGACAGGCCGGGTACAAGGGTCATGTCAGGTTTGGTTGTCGAAGCTCCACGCGTTGCATCCACCGTGGCGGATCTCCATTAGCTTCGCTTCACCAGTCAACACTCGAGCTCAACTACGTGGACCCTCCCATACGGCATCTGCCACGTCATCAATACCGTTCGAACGAACCTCGCGCCACGCCGAACCAGCCAAACCTCCCGCTTGGGCAAAAGTGGTAGCTAGCTAGTCTAACATTTCCTCGGGAATTCCATCATATTCTGCAGAGGTTCCTAGTTCTTTCCAAGTTACCAGTATTCCAGAAGATCCTGCTGGGACGTGCACAGGACTAGGCTTCAATTAGCGTGTCGGAGGCCTTCTGTCAGTACTGTCTCCCGGTTTCCTCAGAGCTTCTATCAGGTCGCCTCGCCTTGTGAAAGATGTCTTCTCTTCTTGTTCAACACTCCGCCGTCGCAGCCTCCGCGACTCTCGCTTCTGCATCTCGGAGAGCAGATGGCGCCTCGTCAGCGCCTTTCGCGCCGCTCCCTGGCCGCAAGTCGGTGACGTCAGCCACATTCACAGGGGGAAGGTCACAGCTCTCTTCGTCTGCTCTTCGACTAGAATCGTCCACGTCAGCAGCTGCGTCTACGCGGAATGTCTCCGTGGCCGCGTCATCTTCGTCGCCGTCCAGCTCGGAGGTACGTGACGCATTCCCTTCCCCCATTCTCGCATCCTACGTCATAGTCGCAGACGTCGCCATTGCCGTCCTTCGCCATCGCGACGGTCGTCGCTATCGCATGGCACACAACCGCATCGCAATTCACGGAAGGGAATTGACACAGATCTCAAATGGAAATCTGGCAGTTTGTTCAAAGAGTAGATCCAGAAAGACGGTGACGTGGACGAGGCGGCTAAAGAGGGCCCTTGACCCTTGCTCTCAAGGTAACGGAACGAGAAATGACTCCTTGATCGAAGGGAGCAAGGGGAGCGAAGGGAGGTTGCATGGCAGGGAGGCGAGCTAGGCGAGAGGGGCGAGAGGGGCGAGAGGGAGGCGAAGAGGAGAGGGAGACAAGACAAGCACCGTTATTGGAGGAGGCATATGCGCTGCGTAACAGCACCATAGCTGACGGAAGTTGCCATTTTCCGTTGTCAAAGGCCACAGATTAAAGCCGCGCCGTTCTCGCTCTCTCACCCTCTCCCTGCACCAAAAATCAAATGGCCTCTGACAACCGCCGCACATGCTCACCCGCCTTTTCCTTCCTCTAACCCTCGCCTCCGTCTTCCCTACTCCAGTTTCCTCCCTCGGACTTCCCCCACACCACAGGAAGTGTTCTTCGACAGTGGCCCACAGACAATTCGGCGCTGAACCTGGTCCTATGCACGGGCGTGTGGCTGCCGCTCACCCTCGCCCTCTCCCCGTTCCCAACCCCCCTCCTTGCTTCCCCCCATCCTCTCCTCACACCACAGGAGGTGTTCTTTGACAGTGGTCCGCATACAGGCGATTTGGCGTTGAATCTGGTGCTGGGGTTCACGGGCGTGTGGCTGCCGCTCACCCTCGCCTCCGCCTTCCCTTCCCCCGGTCCCTCTCCCTTGTAATCCCCCCCACACCACAGGAGGTGTTCTTCGACAGTGGCCCGCACGTGGGCGATCTGGCCCTGAATCTAGTGCTGGGCTTCACTGGCGTGTGGCTGCCGCTCACCCTCGCCTCCGCCTTCCGCGTCCTTACGCTGCGCTACCGCTTCACCAACCGCCGCTTCACTGTCCTCTCTGAGATCGATGAGAAGGAGAGACTTGAGTACCCATACTCGGTAAGAAGCAACTCGATTTCCAGTCAACTCGATTTCCAGTCAACTCGATTTCCAGTCAACTCGATTTCCAGTCAACTCGATTTCCAGCCAACTCGATTTCCAGCCAACTCGATTTCCAGTCAACTCGATTTCCAGTGTCACTAGTGCTCTGCACTTCCATTCCATGTCTGTCTCCCTCTCACCCTGCGCCACCGCTTCACCAACCGCCGCTTCACTGTTCTCTCGGAGCTAGATGAGAAAGAGAGACTCGAGCACCCATACTCGTAGCAACTCATTGAGATGCTAAACACCCTGTGCTCCTCCCTTCGCTACTCTTCCTGCTGCACACACTCTCTGCACACAATCACTGCACATACTCACTGCACACTCTCACTGCACACTCTCACTGCACACTCTCTCTGCACACTCTCTCTGCACACTCTCTCTGCGCACACTCTCTGACCACAAGAGCATGACTGACCTAAATAGAGTGTGGCCGTTTCAGCTAACCATTCTCCCCATTCCTTCCCTGCACCTCGTATCAAAGGTGCGCTTGGCGCCCCGTTTCATATTAGTGAGGCGACGTCTCTAGAACACACGATTGGGACTAACTTAAGAACGTTTGGCCATTTTAGCTAGTCATGCTCCCCTCTCCGCCCCCGCCCAGCATCCAGCTCGTGTCTGAGGTGCGATCAGCCCTGCCCAGCATGCAGCTCATGTCTGAGGTGCGATCCGATTAGCGCTCCGCTTCCACCCACCTTCCACTTGGTATCAGAGGCGCGATCAACTCTCCGCTTCATAGGCAAGTGGGGAGACATCTCAATCATCCTCACCTCACAGACAGGTCTGTTATTCAAGACTGGACCTCATCCCTCTCCCTGCCTACCCACCCCCACCGCTGCCTCCTCTTGTCCTCCTAATCCCCCCCCTCTCCTTGCCCCGCAGCTCGTATCAGAGGTGCGATCAGTGCCACGCTTCATAGGCGAGTGGGGAGACATCTCCATTATCCTAAAGGACAAGTCGGTCATTGACCTCAGGAGCGTGCCCAAGTTCAGGGAAGTCGCCAAGTACTGTGAGGAGCGCGCCACGGCTGCTGCTGCTCGCGAAGCCAAGAGTGCTGCTGGAAAAAGCAGCAGCAAGGGGTTTGACACCGCAGCGTAGGAGTCCTGTCCTGTCCTAGCCATTGTTTTTCGGTAGGAAATCATACGGTATCTATCTGGGGTTGTGTTACTTGTGATTTACTGCCAGGAACTGGCGTTTATGTAAGTTGGTCTGTGTCTACCGTACCTGCCATGCCAAACCACCACCCTGATTGACCTTAAGAGCGTGCCTAAGTTCAGACAAGTGTACAAGAACTGTGACTAAATTCCAGGTGCCTCAAGGTGACTTTTGTGTCAACACCTCGAGAGGGTCTCAAGTTCAGACGAGGGCCCCAAGAACTGTGAACTATGACTCTATTGTTGGAAAGTTGGCGCTTCTGATGTGTCGTACACTACAATGGAAGAGAAGCGAACTACAGCGAAACAACGAGTCAATCGAAGCGGTTGATAGAAAGACAAAAGGAAGAGGTTGAGTGAAGGTCAAAGGTTAGTGACCTTTGCCTCGCCGAAAAACAGCGCGACAGCAAGGTCACATAAGTAGCTCACTATTGAGAAGTTACCCGAGTCGTCGCTGTATCCTACCGCAACAGCAGTTACGGTCAGTTAAACCTTTCGTATTCCTTGTAATCATATAAAGCCCAGTATCTCTTTGCTATTATCAACTTATTTTGTTCTCACATACCAGTGCAAGGTGGTTCAACCAGTTCACTAATACGCTTCCGTTAATGCGTACATCACTGTTTTGAGTCCTAGTCTTGAAAACGATCCTAATGGCTTTTCTCAGCCCAACATGGTATCAGAGCTAGCAAGACAAAAGACAACTGTGTTCAAACTCCTACAATAACAGAAGGCATGGCTACGCAGAAAGAAAGAAGCTCGTCTACTGGATCTCCCAGCAACACTCCTCCACCTCCAGCCTCTTGACTACAGACAGAGAGAGGCACAACCCAAGGACCAGCTGCTAAGTCTACTGAAACTCCCGCTTATCAAGCAACCGGCTTCGATCCAAGCATGTGCTCGTCAAATCGCTTCGTTCAACAGGAACAACACCTCAACCAAGAAATCGTGATCACCGTCGCCAACAACCAGAACCTGCGCACACGACGACAAGGAATAGTTCAACTTCAGTCCCGCGAGACTAACGTCGTTTTACAGATGTCAAAGGTTTTGATTGGAGAAGGACTGGGCTGCAACTTACTCAGCGTCAGTCAACTCATGGCAAAAGGGATTCATCTCGAGGCCGACAGCACCACTCAGGAATTCAAGCTGTACAACGGAAAGGGTGGACTTTACATCGGGAAAGCGGTCCTGAAGAACAAGATCTTCATTCTTGATTTCGTTCCAGATCTAGGAATAGCTGACAGCGACGCGATCGTCAACTTCACTACTTGGTCGCATCCACCAGATCTTGACCCGGACTTCAGCCCCGGAGGTTTCTGGTACTCGCACACCATCCCTGAAGTAGAACGAACAAGGGCGTTAGCATCGATCCAATAGACAACAGCAGCAGAGACAACAGCAACAGCATCGACGTCGGTAGCAGCAGAGACAACAGCAGCAGCAGCAGAGACAACAACAGCACCAGCACCAATCACCAGCTCTTCATCAGCACCAACTCTCGTCACCGACACCACACCGACTCCCGCCCAACAGCTGACTCCCACTCTACACGAAGTCCACAGAAGCGCCAACATCACTGCAGGTTTCTACTCCAACTCCGACCTATACAGACGTTCATCTGGACATCGCGCCGACGAATCACTATGGCATCAAAGGTTAGGACATCCCAGCAACACGACACTGAACAACACGATAAGAGCAGGAGTGCTCGATAAAGACTCACTACTTTTGCCTGATGAAAGAGAACTCCAACGAGTTCGCGGAACTTGCTTTACCTGCCCTGAAGCCGACTTACCCCATCACCCGTTCGTCTCTCACCACAACCCGAGCGCGCCAGCATACGCACCACTGGAGAAAGTCTACAGCGACATACTGTACACCCGCGAAAACGGGTTCACGAACCGAACGAAGCACATTGCCCTTCACTATTTCTTCGTGAAGGACGAAATTGAGAAAGGGAGGCTCGAGCTATCCTACTGCCCCACGTCAGAGATGGCAGCATATTACTTGACCAAGAAACTCAGATAGCAGAAGTTCGAGTACTGCATGCTGCTGACTGGACAAGGCCACGTCACCAGCAACGAAGGCGATGACACTCCGGAAGTGAGGGGGAGTGTTGGAAACATATAGTTCGCACTTCTGATGTATCAAACACTACAACGTAAGTGAAGCGAACTACAACGAAGCAACAGCGAGTCAACCAAAGCGGTTGACAGAAAGACAACAGCAAGAGGTTGAGTCAAGGTCAAAGGTCAGCGACCTTTGACTCGCAGAAAAGCAGCACGACAGCAAGGACACATAACTGACTCACTAGTGAGCAGTTACCCGAGTCGTCGCTGTATCGAACCGCAATAGCAGTTACAGTTAGTTAAATATTTCGTATTCTTTGTAATCATATAAAGCCCTGTATCTCTTTGCTATTATCAGCTTATCTTGTTCTCACATACCAGTGCAAGGTGGTTCAACCAGTTGACTAATACGCTTCCGCTAATACATCACTATTTTGAGTCTTAGTCTTGAAAATGATCCAAAGGGCTTTGCTCAGCCCAACATCTATATTCGAGGTGCCTCAAGTCATCTCAACAAAATCATCAAGTACTCTGAGGAGTGTTGGAAACATATCATTCACGCTTCTGATGTGTCGAGCACTATAACAAGAACGAAGCAGATCCACAGCGAAGCAACACCGAGTCAACCAAGCTACAGCAAAGCGGTTGACAAGGCGACAACAGCAGGAGGTTGAAGCGAAGGTCAAAGGTCAGCAACCTTTGACTCGACAAAGGCAGCGCGACAGTAAGGACAAATAACTGACTCGCTATTGAGCAGTTACCCGAGTCGTCGCTGTATCGAACCGCATTAGCAGTTACAATTGCAGTTAGTGAAACCTTTCATATTCTCTGTAATCATAAAAAGCCCTTGTATCTTTATGCTATAAGCAACTCATCTTGTTCTCACAAACCAGTGCAAGGTGGTTCAATCAGCCTTCATTAAAGACGCTTCCGCTAAATACATCACTCTGAGCCTTAGTCATTGGAACGATCCTAACGGCTTTCTCAGCCCAACAAGGAGCAGGTTAGAGCTGCTCCTAAGCAAAGCCAAGAGTGGTGCCAAGAGCGACAGTAAGTGGTTTGACTTGAGACCGCTGCATAGGGTGAAGGATGGGTGAAGGCAGACAATTTGGAAGGTGATTTGATTAATTGCTGTGATGAGGAGGTGAAGTCTGCAGCAGTTCAGAAACTCAAATGGGATTGAGAGCTTGAGCAGTTCAGCAAGGCTTTGGTGTTTGTTTGCCATCCCGGCCTCAACATTTATCCTCTGGTATACTAGCAGCAAAACTGTGCCACAATTTGAAAGTTTCTACTGCAACTGTGTAGTGCAGCCACATGCAGGCGTAAATTCCCTTTCCATTTGAATTTTGTACTGTAGATCACATTACAACAGTGGTTCCCTACATGAGTACCTCGCCGGCAAAAAGCAGCAGCGACGGAGGGGAGAGGAGGGGAAAGATAGGGACGAGGGAGGATTACTACTAGGGGCTAGCACTTGGGGCTTGGCAGTGGCCGACGGAGGAACATAGTCAGCACACATAGGCCCTGAACTCCTAGTCACGAATACATAGGCCAATATGGGATAAGTGCCACCTATGCGCGCTTGCACTTGGGGCTTGGCTTTGGCAGGAAGCAGTTGGAGGAGTATCTGTGGGGTGGGAAGGGGGGGGAGAAGATGGGAGGGGGCGTCTGAGTCAACTCAGCTGTCACATTGGTTGGAAGCAGTTGGAGGAGTATCTGCGGGGTACAGCGGGGAGGGGGGGGGAGATGGGAGGGCACGTGTGAAGAGAGGGGGGTTGGACAGGTGTTTCAGGTGAGGCGCTTCAAAAAGGTTCAAAACCTGCCCCACAAATTCAGTAGGGCTGAGAGACGCTCACAGCAGGGCTGATGGTTGCTTGAATTTGCCAGGCTCTCTTGCTAACAGGTTGGCTTGTTTCCCTAGGAACATCCAGAGCTTTTCGTTTGAGCAGCATGCACTTCATCTCATCATCCCTCTCAGCCCTCCCTTAAAGCCACAGGTCTCTTAGAGCACACTCTAGAGGCGTTTTCCCAAGCATCCCCGGAGAACTCACTTGAAGTCAATCTGGCAGTTACCAGGCACCTCAGTTACCAGGCACCTCAGTTACCAGGCACCTCAGTTACCAGGCACCTCAGTTACCAGGCACCTCAGTTACCAGGCACCTCAGTTACCAGGCACCTCAGTTACCAGGCACCTCAGTTACCAGGCACCTCAGTTACCAGGCACCTCAGTTACCAGGCACCTCAGTTACCAGGCACCTCAGTTACCAGGCACCTCAGTTACCAGGCACCTCAGTTACCAGGCACCTCAGTTACCAGGCACCTCAGTTACCAGGCACCTCAGTTACCAGGCACCTCAGTTACCAGGCACCTCAGTTACCAGGCACCTCAGTTACCAGGCACCTCAGTTACCAGGCACCTCAGTTACCAGGCACCTCAGTTACCAGGCACCTCAGTTACCAGGCACCTCAGTTACCAGGCACCTCAGTTACCAGGCACCTCAGTTACCAGGCACCTCAGTTACCAGGCACCTCAGTTACCAGGCACCTCAGTTACCAGGCACCTCAGTTACCAGGCACCTCAGTTACCAGGCACCTCAGTTACCAGGCACCTCAGTTACCAGGCACCTCAGTTACCAGGCACCTCAGTTACCAGGCACCTCAGTTACCAGGCACCTCAGTTACCAGGCACCTCAGTTACCAGGCACCTCAGTTACCAGGCACCTCAGTTACCAGGCACCTCAGTTACCAGGCACCTCAGTTACCAGGCACCTCAGTTACCAGGCACCTCAGTTACCAGGCACCTCAGTTACCAGGCACCTCAGTTACCAGGCACCTCAGTTACCAGGCACCTCAGTTACCAGGCACCTCAGTTA